TAAATGAAGAAACAATTTGTGAATTATGAAATCTGAGGAGGGTACTATCGAATTGACGGCGAAACAGTACGTACAGTGATATAAATGTTTCATTATTTTTTCTCTCTTAGTTGCCTGTTTCAACGAAGTATTTTTGAATCCGAGTCGAGTTTTCCAGCAGTTAATCATTTCTTTTTAATTTTTGCAGAACACTAAAACTTCTTCTGATAGAGTTAGACAGTATGTTACTACTCTTACTTTTAGACTGTTTCACAATTATGCTCATTTTTCGCTTTATGCTAGAGAGTAACGCTTTTATAATACCAAGCTCTTTTTAGGCTAAAAGATATAGGCAATATCTTGGAAGTGAAGCATTTAACCAGTCCCTATTTGAATACATGCTTAAGACTAGCCTGAAACTGCAAAAAAGTGTAAAAAATCCACCAAGAAACTCTGTACACCATTGGTCAAAAAGTTCGGAAAAAGCTGAAGTTAATTTTCTCAATTTTCATTTTCTTTGTCTCTCACGGTCTACTCTCTTAATTTTCGCCAGTCATTTCTTCTCTCTTTTTCCTTGGCATCTGGAGAAGCATGGAAAGAAGAAGGCTCATAGTCTTCATATTTGTTCTATTGAAAAGCTTATTTTTGAACATTTGATGCAAAACTGTATTTCGCTTAAAGGTTGAGCTTCTCGGTATACCTTATTGGTTCGTCGTTGAATCGTAAAATTTGAAAAAAATCTTTTAAATTTGTACTTCTTTTAATTTTTATAATATTAAGCAAATTTTTTTCTCCGATTTCGAAAAAAAAAAACAGGAATCGGCTATCTGGCAACTTATTTTTAAATCTTTAATTATTGTCACCGATGTATTGCTGTTACAAACTATGAGCAGTTAATTCTAATTCTTAATTTCAGAAAACAAGAAAGTGCAGAGGAGAACTGGTGTGAAAAAAAATTAAGCAAACGTTGAAAATTTATTGCTAAGAAGCAGAAAACTATTTATCTTCCCATTCTTCTCTAAAAAAATTTTTTTTAAATCTTTGGAATAGTCTTTTCAAGAAGTTACCGAACAGCTAAAAAATTATTAAAGAATCAGTAGGTCTCTGAGTATTTTTAAATTTTTGAACACGTTTAACAAACAAATGCGTTTTTTGCTGCTAAAATTCGGTAAACATGTGATAACTTTAAGTTAAAAGTTTTGATCAAATGCAGTAAAAAAAATATTAGTATGATTAACTAATTAAAATTGGGTAAATTAGCTATTTTTCTGTTGTAGAATTTTTCTGCTTAATTAAGGCGGTGTTAACTTTATTTTCTCAAGTGCATTGTTTACTACTGTTGTCGTGCGGACCTATTCAAAAAAGATCGTGGGCACCAAAACCTTAAAATTATTTAAAATTTTGATTTTGAGAAATTTAGAATTTTTAAAGTAATAACAAAAGAAATTTTTATTCTTTAAATAATTTTTAGATCACTGGCGAAAAATATGTAGAATACATGAGAAAGAAAAAAAGAAAAAAAAGTTGGTTTTTTCAGGTAGTTTGTAGTCGTAAATTAACTAAAATTTATACTTTTTAGATGGCTATTTAACTAAATTATTTATTCTACTTTATATATTACTATTAATCAGAATGTGAAGTTAAAATATCTAAAAAATGATCTTGTTGCTTTGAGGTTATAGAGGTAAAATTTCAAAAATAGCTTAATATTTTCTTCACAGAAAAAGGTAAAGGTCGAATGGTAGGTCAAATAGCGACTAAACATCTTTTGAAAAAAACTATTTGCTGCTTGTCTCGCTAAAAAGTTGGTGGTAAAAAGAAGTTTCTGAGAAAATATTTGATATAAGTACGAAAAAAAAAATGGCAGCTGAAGAAATTTGCAAGAAAAAATTGCAGATAGCACTTGGTGAAAGTAGAGCAGATATCATATTATAGAAATTTTGGAGTATTTGTAGAGGTAAAATCGACAATTGCAGGAAAAAACCAAAAAAAAAAAAGGTAAAAAGCTTATAACTACAACTTTTATTTTTGATATGCTAAAATTTGTTTAGTAACTGTTCTGCAAAATACCTAACGCATAAGCTGATGCCAACAAAAACATAATGTTTTTAGAAAACCATTGTATAATATTTTAGCACGTCGCAGTACAAAATTTCATCGTTCTGCAAATGATAATCTGTATAAACTGAACGTGTGCTTTACGTATGTTGTCTTTACACTTTGCTGTTTTTTAGCAAACTGTTCCTGCACTTCCAAGAGTACGTTAATTTTATTACCTTTAAAGCTGGCACAAGAGTTTTTTGGCCTCAACTTCTTCGGCAAGATCAGAAATGACAGTAAAAATTTAAACCAGGAGAAGAGTAGCTGTTGTATTAAGTAAAGAAAACAACGGCACATAAAAGCTACTTTTATAATAATTACGTCTTACTGGTAATAATAATAAACATAGTTTGTTTATTTAAGAGGTCGTCGTAACAGAATTGCTCTAAAGCTGATTTGTAATAAATGAAAATGTAACGAACAGCTTAAAGCATGATTCAGTACCGACAAAAAAAAAAACCAGGAAAAAAATACGCATTTTATTACAAGCAAAGTCAAAAATATCTGTACGTCAAATAAAGATACTTGTTTTATCTCTTTAAAGCTTTTTTTGGCATTGCTTGAAAAGTTTCTTGAATTTGTAGTACTACTGGTTTGGAACCTGAGGTAAACAATTTCAAATCAAAGTCGTTTCTTTAAAAAACCAACTTCTAATATAGATACGATCTGCAGAAGCAGAAACAACTGCTAGGTATTTTTAGGTTTTGCTGACAGTTTAGACGTTAATAAACAGTAAAAAAATTTTAACCACTTCAAACTGAGCAGAAATTTTTTAGAAATACAAATTCTTTTCCCTTCTGCATGTTTTATGATTATTAAAGTAGAGGTTTAAATTGGCAAAATAAAGCTATTTTCCTGATTCTTTATAAATTTATCGTAATAGTTTTACAAAGTTACACGACATACGACTTTTTATTTCAGCCAAACTTACTATAGTAATTTATATCAAAATTTTCTTGAAAATATATTTGAAAATTTAAATTTTCACAGAGAATATAAATTTTAATTTAAAATCCCTTTTCAAACTCAAACTTCTTCAGCTTACCTACAAAAATAGCACAAAATTTCAGTTTTTTCTTTAAAAACTGTTATCCTGTGAAAGTTCTTTTTCTGTGAAACTGCCAAAAAAGATATAATAGGACACTATGTAGCTCTGCCATACTCTGCTGAAAAATTTCTACTTAGCCACTAAATAAGCTCAGGAATGAACTGTGAAAACTGATACAGAAAACAAGTTTACGAGCTAACTTTTCAGTAGAGACCAGTAAGCAAATGGCACATTCCACTGTTATTTTCTTATATTTATCTCTTTTTTGTTGTTACCGCTAATTGATCTTTCTCTATACAAAGTTGAAATTATTGCAGTATCCTAAAAAGCCAGAAGAGTTAATGACATAATTTAGGCATCTTTTCAAACAACGATTACTGCATAAGTTCGGCATGTGACAACTTCAAAAAAAACTGTGGTTCAAACTTAGAAAAAAGAAGATTTGGCTTACTTGGTCAAGGTAATATCAGCGTATAATCATTTTTTGCTTCTTTCTCGCTAAATGTGAGAAATGCTGAGTTAACATATGATTTATTAAAGTATATGTTTAATACATTTCTTTATGCTAACGCAGTTAACTTATTCCGCAGAAAGCTAACAGATAGCAAGTAAAGTTGAATTCTATTTATATCTGGTTACTACTTTCTCACTAAAAAATTCTCTTTATGCTTCTTTTCTGTTTACTATCTGATAAATATGATTAAGTCTTTGACTTTCGTTTATAGTCAATTTAGAAATAGTGATAAAAAAAAAGCTTGATAAAACTCTTTCTTTGGTTATTTATAAATGCGTTTACTGAAAAGTGTCAAGTAACAGAAATGACTTAGCTAATATAAATAGTAATTTACAAAAAACGTTTATTTATTAAGTCTACAACTTTCAGGAATTGTTTTTTGATTCCTTCGCAATTAATTTTAAATAGTCAAGCAATTGTTCGTTTTTCGCCTAAATGGTTCTTTTTTTTTTCTTGCTAAAGAAAACTTTGTCGTCCTTTTACTTTCATCGTATAATCTTAATTATGTCTATTCTGACTGCTGTTCTGTTGTTTAAAAACCGAATTGTTGAAGAATTTCACACGAAAAAGTACACCTTTTCTTTTCTGTTATTATAAGTTCCATTTTGCTGGTTATTATTTAAAAGTGCGTGACAAAATCAGTCTTTAATAAAAGTTAAGTTTTATAATCCTGTCTAATTTGAACACTTATTATTGTTCTTTTTGCTATTTTTATGTGATACTGTGTATTATATCTTACACAATTTTGTCAAACTGTTGATGGAATTTTACAGTCGTAGAGGAACGTAATATTGAACAAATCAAAACAAAATGTTCAATAATGAACTTTCCCCACTGGACGACGAGAATTTTTTGTAAGACTGCAAAGTAAAAACTGCTTTTGAAACAATGACGGAGTCAACTGTGGGTAGACGAAATAAACGTTTGGAGTTATGTATGGGGATGTATGATGGGGTTGACGAGAATCGAACTGGTATCGGTCTTACGCTGGCAATATTCACCACTATAGCATTTTCGATGAACATTTTGCTGTTGGTGGTTCTATGGCAGCAAAAAAAGAAAGCTCAGTTATTGATGTACAAGAAAATACAATCGCTTAGTGTTGCACAGCTTCTGTATATCTCCTGCAACTATCCGCTAATGATCCCTTGCACACTTACGATCTGTAGTTTTTATGCGGACTGGTCTATGATCTCAATTGCATGGCTAAATACCATGGGCTATTACGTTGCAATAACAGTCAACTGTCTGATTGGTATAGAGAGGATTTCTCTTTTCATACTGCCCAATGTTCACAATTATATTGAAGTTTACTCTGTAGTATTTATTATGATTCCTTGGGTATATGGTGGACTGATCACACTTATCACAACAGCTATGGGATGTTATAAAAGGTAAAAAAAAAATTTCAAATAAGAAAACTGTTTAACAAATTTTCTGCTTCATTCTGTAATGATACGGGAGGTTATACCGGGTCAGTATCATTTAAAAAATTTGTGCAGTCATTACGT